TAGGAGTTGAACATAAGGCTTCCTACTCTAATACCATCTTAAACATGAGCAAATCACCAATGATCTAAAGTTTATGATGGTGTATCTAAATCTAACACATCATTACTTGAGTTTCTTCTTATTGGTAGTAGACACTTGATAAGAAAAGATCATTACGACTTTAATAACAAGGGAACTCCACAGGACCACTTCAAATATTGGTGGGCTTGGAAATTTGCACAATACCTAACAAGGGGAGTAAATGACAACATAGGAGTTTGAATACAACATTTCTTGCTCTTACATCATCTTTAACATGATTTCACCAATGAATTCTAAAACTTAAGCTGGTGGTTGGCCGATTGGCCGATTAGAGTAAATTTGAACACTTGTAGGATATCGTATCTAACACTTCATTATTTGGGTTTCTTCTTATATTGGTAATCGACACTTGATAAGAAAAGATTATTTTGATGATGAATCAACCCTGCTTTGAACTAAGCATGTATCATCATCTAGATTTCACATTTTCTATTATAGACATTTAAGAAAATGGTTGTTTTGAGGACTAATCAACTCTGCTTCAAATTAAGCGTGTATTATGATTTAGATACACTAGAAAAAAGAAAATAGTTATTTTAGGAACAACTCAAACCAACTTCGAACACTAAACAACTTCTACTTCGAAGCGTTACGAGTTGCATTTATCGAAACCTGAATTTTCGAGGTGACGATGACCTGACCAATTGAAAGGTTTTCGAGTTGCATTATGACAGAGCCTCTGGTCCTTTTGGTGGCTTGAAAATGGGAATGGGCTTTGTCCTCACACACAGAATCCCACCTCATCCGGCGGTGTCTAATTTGCAAAGCCAAACTCCTTGAAAAATCTTGGACAGATTCATGTCCTTTTGTGATCATGTTTTGTTGCTTTCTTTTATTCTCAACCATGCATTCTTAAAGTCGCCTTCCATGGCCATAATTTAATTTCCCATCAGTCCCATCTCTTTCAAACCCCCCACAATCCAAATCCCAATCCCAATCCTTTAATTCGATTTCCCCTATCTCTTGATCTCCTTCAAATTAAAGCCGCATTACAATCAAATTATCATATGCATGTGCACTTCAACCGTAAGTATTCAAGTCAGTTTGAACATATCTCGATTAATCTCACGGAACAATTACGACTTAATTCTACTACATTTAATTGCTAAGAGATTAATTTCTAGATAGGTGASTATCATAGAATTTGAACTTATTCTCTCTAAATACGACTCCTTTAGACCAATAAACCAATTGATGATAGTTCTCTTTGTACATTATTGTTATTATTTTCTTTCTTCATTGCATTTGAGAAAGGTCCACTGGACCCTGTTCCTTGTGTCTCCCGGGGGGACAGCGTAGGACATCAACCAAAATTGTCCCCCAAGCTCAAGGTTAGTGCCCTACAAAAGTCTTGACATCCATAAAAAAGCAACACCACTAAAATATTGGAAAGTAATTTGTTCTCCAATTAGGGTTTATCAGCTGATAAATGGGATAAAAAGGAAGAAGCTGAGTTTTACAATATAATTTGTGGACGTGGGATTTCCAAGCCAAGAGAGAGATCACAGA